TGTAAACCCAGTTACTAAAATCTCATATAATCTTTAAGGACAACTTTACTTTTAGTGAAGTTGTCCTTTAAAATTTCCCCACACCCACGTTGTTGAAGTCCAGGTAAACAAATGCTTAGCTTCATCCTGTGGCCCTGCCTAGGACCACACAGTCTTTGCAGTATAAATTCCAAGCTGCATGCAACTCCTACTGCACATACATGATGCTCACTCAGTTCATTCTTATGGCTCTCTCCATCTACCTTTTCATGCCCAGGCCATAAAAATAAATAGTCAGTGGCACGCATGCACAGTAGATGCTGGACTTGGCTAGGAGTTTTTGCTGCAAAGGGCTTCACAGTGAAGATCTCAGGAGTGGGTATAAAGGTAAGTATTTTACTACCTGGGCTTCACTGAAAGGCTGGAGGCAAATGATAAACAAGAACTTCACTTAAACCTAAGTTGTACTTTAACATGTTAAAGTAATATATAAAAAAACAATCTGAAGCTTTCTTTACCTTGTACCTAGCAATTAGTAATAATACATGGTAATTCTACCAAGTGCAGGCACTTCCTAATTTAGGGTGTCAACATCCTGTCCTTGTCGCCCAATCATTCTCCTGAGTTGTCACACCCTCTTTATATGGAGACTAAAAGCAGCCATGTCAAAGTAAATTACACCGGTATGTTCCCCTGTTGTCACCATCAGGAACCCTTCCCTTTGAAATGACATACAAAAGTTGCTCAGTGAATGAATGGGAGAGACTTTATGACATTGACACTATAGATACTGAACTAGTAATGTCTTTCTGAGGCGAAAAATTTAAGTACACCTGTGAGGAGAGAAGAATGGGAGCTACCATTGCTGGTCTTCTGAAAATACTAGCTTTCTGACTGTGCCTGTCTTCAATACATTCTCTCTCCGGATTTACTCTCTCTGCTGCCCCATGGCCAGGTGCCAGGTTCCTCAATGCGCCCCCCTACCTGCCAACCCCCCCATGAAGAATGGCAGACCTGCAGGCTGCATAGAAGTGATCCCGACGGCATCGCATTATAATCTAATTTTACCCAGACATAAATTGGGCGACAATTTCATGGACCAGATGGTGGAGACTCCTACCAGAAAAAATGCCATCTTAGATCTAATTCTCTTATGACAGGTGTACATAAAAGTAGAGCTGAAATCAAAGAGTGGACATTTGATATATTACAGGGAACATGTATACTTATTTTTCCTAAGCAGTAACCTTAAAAATGTACCCTTTTGACTGGAATTCCTCCTGAAAATAGCAGAGCACTTCCAGGTACATGAGGGTGTCTAAGCTTTCCTGTGCCTAGAGCCTTATAGCTGTATATCCTCAGTGTGAGACCTAAAGCTTTGCTGCATCTGGCTACTAGTCTCAGGAGATTCAGTAATATCTCTACTGTTCTCCTTGATGGAGGCTCTGCCATGCCATCTACCAAGATGACTGGTCCCACACAAAGACTCAGGGCAGAGTCAGTATTGGGGAAAGATCAGCTGCAGGGAAACTAGAGGCAATACCGATCACTAGTCTTCAGCTTCTGGAGTTGAGTTCCTCACTTTCCACATGAGCTTTTAGGCTTAACACCAGAAGGCCACATAAGTAAGGGACAAGAGCAAAAGACAACCAGGCAAACCAAACTGACATTAATAAATCTGATAAGGTTGTCTGGTGACAGCCAATAATAGAAATACTGGAAACCTAGAAGCTTGTCTGGTGGCGATGCTAATATGTACAATCCTGTGGCAATAGCATGTGCATTGTGTTCCTTGTGGGTACAGCAACTGTGAAGATGACAACCTTTCCAGAATTCGGAATTGGTGGGATAGCATTGTCACTCCATCAACGGAAGAAAACTTGGCTGGCAGGATCAATGGGTAGGTTTGTGAGTTTGTGGGGGCACATAGTACATAGTAACCTAATTATTAATGATGTACAACATTTTGTTTTTTTCTAAATCAACTATAGTTCTACTTTAATAAAGACTGTATTTCTGTTTATCATGGAAAACATTGTGTGACCCTTTGTTATAAAAGATCCCTCTTTGACTGTCTATAGGCACAAGCCTACGGTGCTAAATGGTAAATAAGGCTACATCATGCAATTCATGGCATTCTGCATAGTAGACTTGAGAAAATGATGCTACTGCACTACCACAGCTTTGTATTATAATTGTACTATCACTAAAGCTCCACCACAGTCACACATTATGTTCCAGAACTTGGTTGAGGCAGCATAACACTTAGGGTCACTCATTCCTTTTCCCTATTTTTTGTAAACCAGCCCAGATATCACAAAATACCTTTTTCACTTTTGACATCAATGTGTGTTGCTTTCTACAGTCAAAATGTGTCAAAAATGTGAGCAGTAACCTATCAGTGCCCATTGACACTTGCACGCCCACCAAAATGCTCCACTTTAGCAGACGAGTAGTGTGCTCTGACAGGTCTGGTCTCAGCAGATCACATTGTTTGCTTTTTCTTTTTTTTTTACTTTATTTAGAGTTTACAAAGTATACACTGCATTTAGGTTCCCACAGGGCAGTGAGGCATATTGTGCTGTGATGCGGTGACCTGGGCTGTAGTCCAGTGCGCTGCAAAAAATGTAGCATGTGACTGGTGCTGTTCAGTTGCTGAAAACTGCCAGTCACCACATATAGTGTGAATGAGCCCTCAGTCTTGAACATACACTTGCACACAGATAAAACTGATTGACAGTTGCCTGAGCAGGGAAATCCCTGAATTTTGGCAGTGGCCAATTGGCCAAGTGGAAGGTTTGGAAGTTAAAGTTGGAGCTGGAAGTCCATATTTATTAAAAAGAACACTATAATAAAAGAAAAAAACTGTATTTTACAGGAGCTGGGACAAACCATACTACACTGCCGATATGGCCGCTGCTCGTTCTGCGGTTTCAGTGTGCGGTTTTGGATTCGGAGGCCCGTTGCCTCCGAATCTGAAACATAAAAATTTGTTTCCTTTGACGAAACGAGTTAAAACATTTTTTGTTTTCATTTGTTTCGTCTGGAAAAACTTTTTTTGTTGTGCACATGTCTACAAGCGATAATGAAATCTGCCAGCACAGCGCAGACAGGGTTCATTATTTGAATCAAAACTCCCCTCAACTCCCCAGTCCTGGAGTTTACAGTGATATCATCAAAAAAAAAGGTAAGCTCCAACTTTTCATTTTATTATAGTTATATAATGTGATTGGGAACATGTAAGTAATATACTGTAAAGTAGGTGTTATCCCAATTTGGCTGTAAAACTGGAAATACACTTTAACTCTACAGATAGATAAAAAGGCATGGAAATAGATAGTGAACTAACTAGAGCGTACACATTTTTCACATTGACTTCAGCAAGGTATTTTTAGCAGTTACCATTTACATGATAATGTACTTGTAAGAAATGCTTTTAGCATTTTATATGTATTAGGTTAGTGCCAATATAGGTATGAGCATGTATGGAATTTAACTCCTGATGATGTTTAGCACATGTTATATAAATACTTTGTCTAGCTACATAATCCCCTGTGTGGGACATAAATCACCCTCTTCTATAAGTCATGGCTTACTGTCATTTTATCCTGTGAGCAGGCAGATTAACTTTTATATAAGACATCTGCAAAGGATTTTCCTCCTTTTTTGTTCAAGGTAGCAATCCCAAGAGACGATAGGCTTAGATGATAGAGTTACACAATTGTCCTATGAAGTAATATAATTGCTAACCATGTAGGCTGGTCCCCCTGGAGGAACTTATCGCAACTTATCTTGAAATAGCTATGATTTCACTATGTTAGCATGGCTTTTTAGGTCCCACGCACAAGATGTAAAAGTGAATTACTGACTAATATATATGTTTTACATATGACATATACAAACTTAACATACTATACTTGGAAAATCTGAACAAAATATCCCAAGATTACCCAATTCATGGTAAAAGAAAATTCTAATGATTTTGGGTCTGGTTTGCTTTTTTTTGTATTTTTTTTGTATTCTTTATTATCCACATTTTCTTCTTTCGCCCAGTAAAAAAATTATCTACGGCCATGTTCTAATCCAAGATAAATCCCTATTGCAGGGGATGTCTATAATTTGATTTGTAGCTTTGTGTAGACATATAAGAAAACTTGTCATCCTGGCAAGATATGTAAAAGGTTGCTGCTGTAATGTTTTCAAGGTTTAGAAATGTAAAATATTGTCAGTTTCATTTAAATCATAGCTACAGAGAAAAAATAATAAACTAGGTCACAATTAAATTGAACTTAGTAAGTGCACTGCAGTTAAATGGAAACTGCCACTTTACCTATTCTGGGCAACGTGTGTTTCTAAAGGGCCCACCCTACCCCAGTTATACTCACATTACCATGGTGCTCCTGCCTCCACTGGATGAAAATAACTTGCTGCTCTTGAGTATGGTGAAGCATGTGATCTCCAATATAGCAGATCTCTGCTTCATCAGCTTCTTTGAGGGTCTCTAGGTAACATTAGGGGTCTGATAGACCCCTGATGTCCATAAAGCGGATCTGTCATTGTATATTTGCTATCACTTCTTAGCCCCCTATTTGATGGCAATAAAGTTAAGTGTAAAGTAAAAAAAAGTTTTAAAAAATGTTTAAAGTCCCCTGCTCCCATGTACACACAAATGATTGCGCCCATTGTGCCGCATATGTTACATATCACCTTGACTGTCGGTGCATGAGCAACAATTTTAGGGCCATCAAACTGTTAACACTAAATTGATTAGCGGTAAAATGTGTATAGCACAGCCTTTGGCCAATCTTGGGTATGGTAATTTATTTTGTGATTTCGCGGGCGCACGCAATTTTAAAGCTTGACATGTTTGGTGTCTATTTACCTGACGTGACCCCGTCTTTTAAAATTTAACAAAATATTAGGTAATAATTAGACATGTGCACCAGCAAAAAATTCATTTAGTTTAGTTTCGTTTTGAAAAAAAAAAAAAATTTGTTTAGTTTAGTTTCGTTTTTCGGGTCATTAATTAAATTAGTTTCGGACGAAATTCGTTAGCGTTAGTCCTGCCAAAATTTGTTTATGAAGAAACTTCACTCACCCATGCCTGGACTAGAACCAGCAAACTTCACAATGGCAATCAATTGCAAGCCTGTACCTCTATCCACTACTCTATAGCCTGGATGGGAAGGGGGTTTAACACCACGGATGTCAACTGGTTAAATAATGCAAACTGAGTACATTTCCTGAGGTTGAGATAATTGCTGAGTTCACTGAACAGCATTGGTAGATCACTAATTGATAACATTTATTCTCTTATCTCAAATATATCTTTTATTTTTGTTTAAATTTTACCAATAAATACACAGAACATCCGCAAATGTTCTGATAATTGAACATTACATGTGAAAAGCTCTGCTAAGTATAACCAAACAGGCTACATTTAGTGCTGAATGCAGGCATCACACATGGTGGCAAATTACTGTTGTACAACTCCCAACTACTGAAACCCTACCGAACAAGTTCCTGTAAAGAAAAACAGTTAACAGTCATCTATTGCATTTTTTAGTTGAAGGCTGTTTTGTTAAGGAAAAAGAGTTTGTTTTCAAAGCATCTATGTCTTTTTAATAAAAATCTTAAAAAGCTTTGTACTACATCTATGTCACTACATGCTTTCCATGTACATATAATGGGGGACACTACATCTACATGCTGTCAGTGCTAGCGTAAGGCTGCATAGACAGTTGTCTGAGGGTGCCGGCTGGAAGAGGGGGTGAAAACTGCACCTTCACCTGTGTACACAGTAATCCTTGCATCGCAAAAAAATACACCCTCCTCACTCTTTAAAAGGCAAGTGCACCAAATAACCCTTTCATGATAGGGAAAGATTTCGGTGGGATGGAGAAAGTGTACCATGAAATGTAAGTAACGGTCATATTGACGTGTGTGTGTGTGTGTGTACCTAAATGAGATGGTTTATTGTGACACACCTTTTCACATCTTCCAGCATCCCATTCCTTTGCAGCAATTCAGTCACATAACATCTCAAGGCTTCAAAAGAAGTTGGAGATGGAAGACTTCCTTTTCTCAGATGCTGTGATCACAGGTCTGAATGAGAAGAAGGTATCCATTCGGGTTATGCACAAAAGGGTGAAGGGTTTGGAGAAGGCAGGAGAGGTGAACCATCTGGGACAACATAGCTGAACTGGAAAGTGAGCTGAATTGAACGTTTCCAAATCGGCTATTTTGGCCTAGATTGTTCACTTCTCCTGTCTTCTCCAAACCCTTCACCATTTTGTGAATAACCCTGTATATAATGCCAAACATGTCACTGACGGATCAACCTCCTCCTCTATTGGTCCTCTTCTGATCAACATCTAAATAGTTAACTATATCCACTCACGGCCACCAGTCCAACATATCTAATTAGTACTTCAACCTGAGTTCATCTTGAACACCCAGTCATATAGAGAGGAATTTAAAAATTAAAGTTTTTCTTAGCGCATTGATGCTGTATTCGCTTTAAACATCCATTCATGGGCAAAGTAAAAAAACGTACTCAATCAATAAAACAATTTCAATATCGACATCAAGGGTTGAGATATATAAACAGTTTTGTTATATTGTTGATGGCTGCATCAAGTTCTGATCATTATAATCTTGAAATAAGCATATGTTTTCCATATGTGTGCATATACTAGCTCAATATGGACTAAGAAATCATTTTTATTCCTATAGGGGGAAAAGGATCATCCAAGGTCAAAGAATTACATGCAGTCCAAAAGCAGTGATATTAAGTATTGTTCATATCTTGCCAATACATTCATACATGTATATAGACAAATTACAGTCAGTCTTTATTATTGTGGACATGTATTTTAATACTATTTGTATTTGTTACCAGTATATCAATAGATTGTGCTGCAGATTTGAACATGAACATCTTTACAGAACATATTTGTGCAAAATCTCTATAGAACATACAGTATATGTTGAAAATGTGTACAATAGGAAAACTTTCCTGTCGGAATTCTTGTTTTAGTTTTGCAGCTGGACTGCATAAATAACAGCTGAATGGTTCCTATGGTCAATAACAAATATGCTTTATAACAGATATGATTTATCTGGCTTACAAAAACTATGCTAGATTACAATTTAAAGAATTATGGGGACAGTGAAATACACTCTTCCCCATAATTAGAGCCGATGTGTGACACTGAAGCTGTCATACGTCGGTTCTATAGATCGGGAAATGAGCAGTCACATACCGCCAATTGCTCATATCCCAATCTTCTCCCTGCAGTGAGTAGTGACTGTCGGTCGCCGCTCCCTGCAGGAATTCCCCCCTCCTCTCTCCGTTCCTCCAGTGCTGACTGGAGGAATGGATGGGGCAGGGGCAGGCACAGCTTGCTCTGTCAATCAGCAGCGGGGTGGATCTCGACAATAGTGTGTGTGTGTGTGTCTATTCTCTTCTCCATTCTATATTAATGAGAGAAACACAATGCTCACATTTCAGTCCTAAGTATTTCTATAAAGACAGATCACTGTGAAGGTGCTGAGAAAACCCTGTAATCAGCCATGCTGCAACAAAACAGCTAAAAGGTAATTGGTGGGTGCATTTCTCACTACTGCATTGAAGCTGCTTTTGATTTCTCATCACTCAGCGATCTCTTACTACTTCTGCCTCTGAATATGGGGGAGCATATAACTTCAGGTCAGGATCCTCTGACATCTAGTGTGTGCTCTTAGGACACTATGTGCAACCTAGAAGTATCCAAACTCCCACCTGTTCCTATAGCCGATAGCATTTGTATTCACCTAATTAATAATGTATCTAGACACTAACTGGGTAAATATATTACATAAATAAAGTATAGACAGTGGCTCAGTGCTGTACTTTCCCATGCCAAAAATGCCATTACTTATGTTTAGTTTGCTTCATGGAATGATAGAGTCTAACTAATTTGTTTTTTTTCCATAGAAAAATATCTATTTAACCTCAGAAAGGAGCTATAATACACAACAGCATTCATCATTTATTTCAGAAGTGTCATATTAGTGTTTTCATAGACAGGAGACCTGTGATAAATGAAGAGTAAGGTGACAACTTCTGTCATGTTATGTCAATTATATTGTTACATTAAGTGGTCATTCCCTCTGTCATGTCCTATAGTCTGGGAGGCAGACTAGTTGTAAAGCTCTTCATTACCAACTTCAGGAATCCAATAGTAATACGAAAAAATATTCACTGGCGCCAAAAAGTAACTGCTCCTGAGAGAAACTCCAAAGTCACGGGGGCAGCACCTCATGGTCAGGGGAAACTGGATATCTAATAGGAGAAAAGCAAAAGGAGCGCCTCCATAGTGTAAAACAGTTTTATTATATGTTCAAATGGTAGCTGAAAAGGTACTTACAAACAGCCAATATAAACGAGCATGTAAAAATACGATCTCAGGATGAAACAAAATGGGCAAACGAAATGAGGCTGAGAAGTGCTGGTGACGAGCTGAAGTCATCTACATGCAAACCTTCCTCCAGTTGACGTGTTTCAGGGGCCAAGCCCCTTTCGTCAGAATATGAAGTACCCATATTTCTAAAAGGTTCTTAAGAATTGAAATGTAACCAATCACAGCTGGACTTCAGTTCTGTCACATGGGACTGCTAAGCCTATCAAAATGTGAGAGGCAATCCCTGTAAGTCCGCCCGACGGAACTAACAAAAGTGAGATGGCGGCCGAAAGACACGCCCACTGCCTCCTCACAGCAACAGGTGGCCTATCAGGAACAGACCGACAGAGGGAGTGACCACCCCTCTCCCCCGGCTGATTAGCAGCTATCAGAGAGGGTGTGGTGACAGGTGAGCATTCATACATCTCCTCTAAAACAGATCTGCAATTTAAACTTGGAGCTGATGCAGAGCGCTCTCCCATAGGAGAGGAGAAAAATAGGGCTTTAAAAGTGTCACTCTAGGTATGGAACACATATTTGACTAAAAAATTCATAATGTAATAATAATAAATATTGCTAAAAATCATTGAGTTCATCATATATTGTCATAAATAGGTTATATAGTCTTGTATCGATGCGCCGTGGGTCCAGTCTTCTACGCGTTTCACTAAAAAGCTTCCTCAGGAAGATGGGAGGCTGCCTTTGTTACAGGGTCTTATTGGTGAGTCAGTCCATATCCCCAATCGAACAGAATCCATTGCCCATAGGGACATAAGGAGCGAGAGGCTTGTACAGGAGCTACGGCGATATGAGGCTAGTTCACATCCATATTTGATTAAACTGCTTCACAAGAAAATCCAGGATCACCTCTCCCGCCGAGCCCCCTGACCCCCACTCCCTACAGCGTGTGGAGGGAGTGGGGGTCAGGGGGCTCGGTGGGAGAGGCGATCCTGGATTTTCTTGTGAAGCTTCAATTATACCAGGGGTGTGCTGTCCTGTTTTCCCGGGTGGCTCAGAACCGCTTTTTGTATTCTGTTGTCTTCATTGTCACCACAATAGGAAATACTGATCCATATGCATCAAGTTCTTCAATCACATCTTGTACTAGTAGTTTAGGTTCTTGGTTAGCTGCTCCTCTTACAGAGAAGGACAAGAATCTCAATTTCTGACACATTGGTTTCACTCCTGATTGTACTTTAAATTTGTGTACAAAGTTCTTTGCCCCTCCCAGTGAGGTATTGCTGAGTGGGGAAACTTTGGACACTGGTAGAATAGGGCCAACTGGAGCTGTTGTGATCAGGCCATCCAGCAGTTGTAAACAAGTAAATAAACACACCACACCTTACTACAAAGTCCTTTATTTAGAAAAAAAAGATTCCTGCTGCCACGTCCGATCTCGATGAACACCAGCCGGTGTTTCTCTTCTCCTGAATGTCAAAAATGGCCACCACTCCTTTGTTTACATTCAGTGTCCCCTAATGGAATGTAATAAAAGGGGCAGAGCAAGTCCCATGACATCATGACTTGCTCCACCCAAGAATTTTCTTTTCACATGATTGGATAATTGAAGTGCATAATCATGTAATTTATTGTGTGAAGATTCCCAACTCCTTCAACAAATTAGCCTCAGTCTGTAAGCCAAAGAGATCACTGTAATAAAAAGTTTAGCTGCTTTACTTTTACTTTGCTCAACATTTAAAGTTCTTTTTTACACCTTGGTAAGATTTGGCTTTATTATTTCGTAGCCCCAAGGCAAAGGGACAGCAATTTAGCTAATAAAGAATAAGGGGTTTTGGTGCAGAAAATGGATGGAAGAGTACAGCCATGTTGGGAGGGGGGATGTGGGAACCAGTTAGTTAAGGACCAAAGCTAGTCACTTGATGATCGCATGACTAATGAAGGAGCCTGTGCAGCCCTGAAACGTTTTGATCTTGTAAAATTAGTTTTGAGCACACAAGCTCCTATGTGTGTTGGTGACATATTTTACATATGCAACATATACAACATGCCATTGCATTTTTCTACATGCCTTCAAGGCATCCCTACTGACTATGCATGTAAATCTTGGTGTAGGAAAAAAACTGGATCGACACATCAGGGGAGGCAGGTAAGGCAGATCCTCACTTAGTATGATGGAGGGAAAAGCTCTCAGCTTTAAGTCTGAAGCTGAGAGCTTTTTCTCCATTGAGAGCAGCTTGTTGCAGGTTACACAGCAGGGAAATCGTCCCCGCTGTGTAACCTGTCATGGATGGAGCGCTGCCTGTTAATTACAGGCAGCGCTGCTTCCGGCTTTTGACAGGTAGTTATGTTACACAGCAGCGGGCTTCCCCACTGCTTGTGTAACCTAACTTGGTAAGGCAAGAGCTGTCACAGCCTCTACACTGTGTTAAAGGTGTGAGCTCTGTGGATGGCTTGGACCAATGGCAAAGCGCCATTGGTCCAAGCTGTCCAATCAAAAACAAATAAAAAAAAACAGTGATGACATCGATCTTGATGCCTCACCAGTGACGAGCAAGTGAGGGACAGGGAGGCTCCTCGCTGTCTCCTACCTTCCTCCTCCCCACACAGCTTGGTTACTGAGCGGGGGGCGGGGCTTTGATGGGATGGGTGGAGCTTCAACAGGGTGGAGCTTTAGCAGGCTGGGGGATGCCTCACCCAGCACAGAAGGCATGGAACGTCACTGTTTCAAATAGCATAGTCTCACATGAAGATGTTTCACATGGCAAATAATAACAAAGGTTTGACAATGTTCTGTAGTCTGACATAATTAGGTTTGATTACTAAAGGAGTTGAGAATGTTCACTGAAAAATGGTGTGAATATTCACTGCAATTATTCATGCATCTGCACAAAGCATCTACACATAGCTGGGTATTCAAAGTGGACAGGAATGTGTTTATCAAGGGATTGGATATTGAAGTAAATATTCACATAATTTTTTAATGACTTTTATTTGAGATTCTGAACTCCTATAGTAAATTAATCTCAGTGAGTAGTAACGTGATCGTCCCCATCACACAGGAGTTATCAATATTGATTCTAACAGTTCAGGAAATGTTTCATTTCTACTGTTCAGGAACACTTTAACAAATATGCTTGCAATGACAACCAGCAATTATGAGTATTCCCTACGCATCAGCATTCATTACAGCATGTTTTTACTAACCAAACAGAGAAGAAATGAAGACAGGAACTTTTGTAAAAAGATATTTTAAGCACTTTGTGGTAATGTCTCTGGTTTTCCATACTGAACAAATATGCCTTAAGATCCAGCATTTGTCTGCACGTTAAAATTCACTTTTTTGTCTCTGTATGTTTCTTGTATGTTTTTGAGTACAGTTTAATAAAGCAATCATAAAATTTCCTAAAAAGCAATTCAAATACTTGCTGAATTTCTTGCACACATAGTTGGCATCCTTTCTTGGGGGGATGGGGGGGCATATCCTGCACTGCAACCAGAAACTGCATGGTCACTGTGTAACCAGCCTCTTACAACCACCTGCGCCTTACAATTTGCTAATGGGTCGTACATTTCCTGCCTGATAGGAAGGTGCAAATGGCAGGAAGGGTGAATTTATATAGTGACTACGCAGGCTCTGACCACAACTTTCATTACAAAACAACCCCACGATTTGGGGAAGCTAACTACTCATACACGCCCCAAATAGGACCTATTATGCAACCCTGCAAGTAGTTTAAGGTCTTTAGGAAGCTACAGACACTCTTCTAAATGTCAAAGTATACAAATATTGTGTATGTGGCCAGTCATATAGGCACAAAGTGACAAGACGTACACTGTACGTCTCCCGTCACGAAGGGGTTAAAAAGAAAAATGTATTTAGTACAAAAAGAAGTAACGTGTATGATAATAATATATGCAATAATGCAGTTGCATGTTCCCGGGTGATTGTTCATATCTTAATACATAAAGTGCGGAGGCATTCGCTGTCACTTTCTGCACCCCCCAGTTTTCGTTTGGGCTTTATCCTGTCAGGAGTGCAATGGGATCTACTACATTTTGAATTTAATACATGAAGTGACACATGCTGCCATGTGTTTTCATTTGTGTTGCATTTTCCTATTCAAATGACTTTAGAAACTTTAGGTGCAAGACAAATGTCTAAAGCTGGCCATACACCTATAGAGTTTCTGCAGA